AGTGAAGAGACACTGAGCTTTCGCCTCTTTCGCCTTTTCCAACAGCAAAACAGAACAAGGAAAGGCACTCCTCACAAAAAAACCGCAGCTTAAAACTCACGTCCGCGATAAGCGCCCCGCGGTGGCAAACCGCAGCCCATCTTCAAACCCGGCACCTTCCGGCCAAGCAACGGCGTCCAAACAAGCCATGGGTACAGTGTGGTATGCATACTGATGTCATCAAATGTCCGTAAACGACAATGCTAACAATATCGGTATGACAATGCTCCCTTTGTTGGACACCCAAAACAAACAGGGGCTTGTGCTGACAGTGAACGTCAGCAACAATCATTGTGACGGGGCATCTTCAGCACAGCTGGCCTAGTTGCACAGGTGGTAGAGCGAGAGAGAGAGAGAGAGATATACTGAAACTGGGCGTTTTGGGTAATGGGTGCGATTGGAGAAAAATGGGCGTTGTAGTACGAACCGCTGGAAAACTAGTACGAAGGCCGGCGTCTAAGGTGCTGCCGGCTGTTTGGGAGGACATTTGAGCCAACAACATCTGACATCATATCAACAGTGTCCTTTTGCAGTATTTTGTATGTCCCTTTGCAAGCATGACCCTACATCGGTCCCAAATCAGGGCATGCTTTTGAGCGGGGACAGTGCCTGCAAACAAACCCGATTGACCCACTTGTTGGGATTTGCACTCATTTGCGGGTTTTTGTTCGGCGTGTTGCGGTTTTTGCGCTAGTGTTGCGGCCAAAAGTGGTACGAACAAAGAGCATGTCTCACTCGAAACATATTAAGACTAAACTTGCCCCGAGTTGCGCACCACTCCCCGCACAGCTAGGATTGAAGAGCATTGATGGCGGGAAGGGTTTGAAGGGTTGTTCAGTTCAAAAGTTCAATGGAAGAGAAAGCCCTGTGCAACAAGGAAACAGCCAACAGTTCCAATTTCCAGGCGTCTTCGTCGTTTTGCCGAAAAGGTGGAACGAAACAGGAAAAAGCGATCACCAAAACACCATGTCTGTTTCCATTCGTTTGAAGCTGCACGAATAGAACAGAAGCGTGAGCCTTACATGGATTCCACATCCCAGGAGCTCAAGCTGAGCTTCCTTTGGACACTCGACACGTCTCAGCCGCTGGCCATGAGGATGCAAAGCACTCCAAACATCAAAGCGATGACCTCGCATGGGATGTAGCGATGGAAGGTATGGGAGGTACAGCCGGGGTGCCCTGGGAGACTCCATCCGGGCAACTGTCAATGGCTAAGAAGTGGTTCAACTGAGTGATCACCCTGCCTTGTTTGCTTGAACACGAGAAAATGACAATAAAATGGACTGGACCCCCCGAAATCAATCGGGGGCTCGTTCGCTGTACACATGGTTGCCATTCTCCAAACCGGGTACCCCTGTTAATTACCCCACACAAAGACTAAGCTGCCATGAGGTGTGACAGTGCAGAGAACAGGCCGTGGTCGGGCAGTTCGGACTGACTTCCCAGCACTAATCTGTGGGGCAATGGACTTGGAACTGAAGCCAAACTTTGAGGACCCGTTGGCAAGACAACAAGCAACCTGAGAGCCAAAACCTGGCGCCAAAAGGCAACCTGGGAAACAAAGGGCAACACAGGAAGAGCCGAAAACTTTGAGAACCTCGAGTCAATATGCCTCAGCTCCTCTCATGGGGACTTCGGTGCAGCACAGGTTGGCTGGTGCCTTGACAAAGGGCAGTTGAGCTTGCTTTCCATGTAACTGCGGACAACAAGTCACATGCCCGGCTTCGGAGTTGTGCAGCATGAAACAAATAAACACAGCTTTGACATAATTGGGAAGGAAATGTCACAAAACTCACACATGCGCAACTCTCAAGCGTACAGCAGCATCTAGGGAAAGTCCTGAGCACAACAGACTGCTCGCCTTCCAAAACAAGCTGTGGGCCTATGTGATCGAAATAAAATCGAGACCCATTGACGCTCATTTGACTAGAAGCTTTTGCAAGATTCACCATATTTCAAGTAGTTGTTTGGCATGCAGGTCACTCTCAAATAGCAAAATATATAACACATGCACCCCAGCTCTCAGGGTGGATTTCCTATAGACTCCTCACTCGGTGCGCCTTTGACCGCGTGATGGGATCCTGTTCAGCCTCCTCTGCGTCTTCTTTCAGCGGCTCCTATGCAAGAGCCATGGGATGCAGGAGGTCATCCGGAGCCTTTCTTGGGGAACTCTCTGTTGATTGTTTTTTTTGAAGGGGAAACCAAAGGGAAACCCCACACTTTGGTGATTCCCTCAAAACAGACAAGCCCAACTGGCAGGTCCTCAAATTCTTTGCTATATGGGTATGAATTTCAATGAGGGACCCTTTGACATCATTTAGGTGGGGATTTTGTCCACCAATCACTTTTTAGGGGGTTCCCATGTAAAATTGATAGCCATATTGGTGAACCCCTTAGGCGGCTCCCAGTGTCACCAGGGTCTCAAGGGGCCCCGGACGTCGGAATTGGGCCCATGGTGGGGGGGGGTGAGCCCCAGTGTACATTCTCGAAATGGACAGGTTGGGCTCGTGCCTGTTTGCTGGGGAAACCTTGGGAAGCATACCACCAGTGAATCTTGGCTATTGACTCCTGCTCATCAGATGATACGATGTTCCGCTTGGACAAGCTACATCTTCAGGAAACTTCAAGTCCTCGGCACTGTTGAAAGCCTCAAAGAAGGGACGAGAATCACCCGCAGAAAAAGAAGAAGTACACAGACACAAAACAAATGCAAACATTGATTTATGTGTTGTGTTTTGCTTTTTTTTTAAATGAACAAAACAAAAACACGGTAACATAAAACAATCAACAAAAATATTGAACTAATAAACAACCAAACAAATGAATGAGCAACAAACAAACGAACAAACGAATGAACTAACGACTGAATGACTGACTGAATGTCGTAATGAATGAACTAACGAATTCATGAAACAATACAACCCACAAAACAGTGGATAAAGTGTAGACACAAATTGACATGAACTCCGAGCGATGCCTTGAGGCAAGCCACATTTTCTTCAGGGTACTTTCTTTCATGTTGCATCTGAGTCACAATCAAAACACGGTACAAAAATGGTCGACCCAGAAACATGTAAAGAATTAAGAAGGCGGTCGCAACTATTTCTGGCTGGGAATGCCCAATACTAACCTTGATCTACCCAAGCGTTTGATGTTTTTTGGACTGGCACGCTTCTCGTCTGCAGCTCTGCCAGAACAAAAAAACTGCCGTGATGTTAGATTCACACCTTTCAGGCCCCTGAGCAGCCTTAGCAAAAATGTTCCAAGCTTCAACACGACAGTTGTAATATCCTGGTTGACGTTGGGAGGGGAGCATGTTTTTTTTTTTTTTTTTTTTTTTTTTAATACCACTTAAGTGGATTTGGATCTCAACCACTAAACCACAATAAGCAACAATGCAAAATGTGTCCCAACAACAACCATGATATGTGCCCGCCAACTTTCCATTCGTGCACTGATGAAGCAGGTGCGGCAAAAGAAGGATTTCCTCCAGCAACTCCGTCTAGTTGTTCTGTTTCCCATTCTTTCAGAAGCTCACAACTTATGAACGGCCAAACTGGCAACTGCATAGGGACACTGCTAAGATGCTTTCATTGCCCATATCATCATCTCCTGTATAATGAAGGTGAATACTGACGGGAAGGATGCTGCTTAAAGGTATAAACCCAAAATGGAAACCAGCCACTTTTAAGGGCACCCTACTTTATGACACGTCGGAAATCGATCCCACGGTCCCAACACTTTCTTTGGATAGACACAAAAGGCCGAAATGCCAGAGTTCTCAAGGTGAATTCCTGTTTTTGGACACGTCCATTTCCCACGGAGAAATGGCACCGAAGATCGCGGTGCCCCGATTTTTCGTCTCCTGCTCCCAGCCAGGAGCCTTTTTGTCCTGGGCAAGTCTCTGGACGAAATGGAAACAAACAAATAGGAAGGGGCCATGGATACATGTCCCGGAAAACCAGGTCGGGTCGCATCTGTCAGTGGCTAAAAAAATCGGTACCACAATGGAACCCTGGTAAGTGGATACATGGACCAAAACCTGCGTAACCCCTCTTGGTTGATTTTGAGCCACACCCATTTGAACTGCAATGGCGGATGTGCTCCGTGTGTAAAAGCCCAACATGATCACCAAGCTGCTCACGGCACGTGCGTGCAAGGAAAAAACAGACTTCCGGAGGTGGGCGATTGTAAGCGCGTTTTGCCTGGAAGTGTCATGGCATTTCACAGCTTTTCACTTGCAATACAATGGAAGCTCTGGATTCAGTGACACTTGATGGATGAACAGGGGGCATCCCCGTTTACAAACAAGGGCCCAAGTTGTGGCATTGCGTGCAAAAGCGAGCTCTGGCCGGCTCTCTCTGGCAAGCTGTTCATAAGTAGCAACGCTTGCCACAGTCCGAACTCTGGACAAACCAGTAGAGTTCTCCGAATCTCCAAAGCAGGCTTTCAGAATGCATGAAGCTCAAACGACAGCAAGCAAGCAACAGGCACTGATTGACTGTGACCGGGGGGATCGAGCCCACAACCTTGTCCAATTGCCGAGCAAAAAGCGGTTGCCCAGCATAGCTTGAGTAGGCCAACTCAGCTATCAAAGAAACAGAAGCTCTAATATTGACGATGCCGAGTCATGTCCTGAGTCCCCAAAATTTGAAGAAGTTCACCTGGTCAGTGAACCATCGGAAGTGTATCCCTAGCTCAGATATGCCCGAGGCTTTCACTTCCTTACTTGTTGTACCTACGCACGACACAAAAGATGGCACAACTCCACGATTCCTGATTCTCCTAATTGCAATATCTTGGGACATCTCGACAGTAACCAACTGTTGCAAGAGGACTCCTATGTCCAGGGCCGACTCCCATGCTTGTATGCAGGTCTCTTGAGAACTGGCCACGGTTCAATCGGATGCAGCAAACACCCGAGATCGCAGCGCTCCATGGATGTCTCCCTTCAGTTTTTCTCGCATGCCAACGCCATCTGCAGGCCACGAGCTCGATAAAACTGTGACAGGGTCGGTCCATGGAGGGCACCTACCTGTGATGCCACGATGATCCAATCTGCGCGGCGTTTTCTGCACGTCGATTAACCTCAGGTCCGCCACACGTAGAGGCTGTCGCAGGTGGCAAA